GTCTTTTCCGGCACCGTACCCAGTAACGACTTTTATGGTCGCATCGTAAAAGGTGTGGCTACATCCATCGAAGCTCATCCATACCAAGTGTCTTTACAAAAACTGAATGGCTTCCACTTTTGCGGTGGCAGTATCATCGATGATACGACCATTGTAACAGCGGCTCATTGCTTGCAATCAATCACTGCTGATCAAATTCAGGTGCGTCTTGGATCCACCTACTACAACAAGGACGGTCGTACTGTACGCACTCGTTCTTTCAGAAATCATCCTGGCTATAATAGTAGAACTCACGTTAATGATGTTGCTGTAATCAAATTGTCTGAGTCGGTTGCTGAAACTTCTCGCATCCGCTATATTCGTTTGGCCGAACGTACGCCAGCCACTGGTACACGTGCTGTTGTCACCGGTTGGGGTATTAAGTGCTCACTGTGGTGCACTAAGTCTTCGGAAACTTTGCAAGAAGTTGAGGTCGGTATTGTTGACAGGAACGCTTGTGCATCGAAGGAATACAAATACGGCTCTGAAATCGGCGAYACCATGGTATGTGCCTACGATCTCGGCAAGGACGCATGTCAAGGCGATTCCGGCGGCCCATTGGTTGCTGAGAACGAATTGGTCGGTGTTGTTTCTTGGGGCAGGGGTTGCGGTTCAGATGGTTACCCAGGTGTSTACAGTGATGTTGCCGATGAACGTTCCTGGATCGAGGAAACCGCTCGCTCTCTGTAAGAAGTTTTTTAGTTTCTTTYATAGTCAAAGTCAAAAGCAATTGATATTTTTATTTTTAACCTAATGAATAAATGAATGATATTGAGTTTATAAAATTACAAATAAAAGTGTTTTATGCAGCTAATTAATGCATTAAGTAATCGGTATAAAAATTTATAAAGAAAAAGCGGAGCCTCAAGKGTCGTATTAGAATCGGTGAAAATTGTATAGCTATTGAGCTTGCAATGAAGACCATCCTATAGAAAGTTTTCACCGAGCTAAGAGTGAATGTGAGTTGCCTCTTTTTCTAACAGATAGTCGTGATTCAACTTAACTCATAGTATGYTTTCGTAGTCCCGAGGTCTACCTCGTGGTCGTAGATAGTTCCTTTCCTCTCTATTCCTGATTTTTCCTGTTCTTAAAGTTGTTTTGATTTTATTTAGTTACAAAAAGAAATAAGTAGCAAGCACTTATTTTACGGTATTTAAGTTTCTTTAATTTTTCTATATTTTGTCAAAAAGGGGATCTTTCTTTTGTCTTACAAGAATATAAAAATGTTTGGTTATCATGATTATATATTTTATATCTTTTTAATTATAAAACTCTTTCCGGGCGCACTTATCGTCCAACGTTTCATGTATGTAGCTTAGTGCGCATTATTTTACAACTTATCTATCAATTGACTGATAAAGAGCACAGGCGGTCAGGTGCGCCAGTTGCCTTCACAAAAACTCGCAAGATTGCCTTCCGGTAGCTGTGGTATCGATCAAGTGGCTGCAACTACTACGTTCGAACAGTGTGTATCGTACATGTCCTGGTTTCTAACATAAGAACATCTGGTACGAGATGATCTTTTTGAATACTGCATCTAAAGAGGAGAAGTACGGAAGTGGAGGTAACACATTTAGCGGCACTGATGGAGTTTCGAGTATTACTATGTAGATGGAAAAATAATATATGTACTATATATATTGGGAGGGTTACAATTAACTTAAGAGAGCAAACTTTACAAAACAAGGTTCAATCCATATCTTTCATTAAATCGTGTGGGTAATCTGCATATTTCGATTTCAAAATTCGGTAGTATAGGAATAAAAATCTGGAATGCTGCTCGATATTCGTATTTACAGCATAAACGAGATGGTGTTATAAATATTGAATCCTAAAAATTAACTAAAGGTCTATGAGTAACTAAATTAATCAATTTCCAAATAAAAACACCTTGTTCTCCAACAAATAAAAATATCACGTCCATCTCGGCATCTTCATGAAATACCAATCTGGTAAGCCACAGAGGCGAAGAACATAAGATGGCATCATTTGACTATTTTTTTACATGGGTAATCGCCTTACATTTCGCTAATGTAGCAGTATTTGTAATCTAATATAACCGGTGTGATTTTATATGAACTCACAAGAACTTCATAAAATATATAATCAATATCATATCGCTTGCACCATCAATAAATCATTTGCTTTTAAAAGGTTTTATGTTAAGTACAATATTAAACGTAAATTCCCTTACGATTATGGTTATTTTGGTGGTTTTACCAATTTGAACTATTACTTACGGATATTCTCATTTCATAATTTACAACTTGGGAAAGTATTAACACAGAAATTACCAATGACGCTGCTTATCCATGGGAGTTAGCGGGTTCAATTATGAYTATAAAAGCTTTAGCAAAATCTCTCAGAAACACAGTCAACGAATTAACAGACATGTTTCGCTTCGTAGCAATTTTTCTGCTCTTCAACGTCGCCTTTGGCGAAATCTTAATAAACGATTTCAATGGGCGTATTGTCAGTGGTGAGGAAACTACTATTGATTTGCATCCCTACCAGATCTCATTGCAAAGTAAGAGTGGACATTTTTGCGGTGGCAGCATTATCAATGAGGACACTGTTGTCACTGCAGCACATTGTCTGCAAACTAAAACCGCCAATCAGTTGCAAGTTCGCTTGGGTTCAACCAATCACAAGAGTGGTGGTAAATTGGTGAATGTTCGTGCTTTTTACGCACATCCTGGTTACAACAAGAATCAACGACAAAACGATGTTGCCATTGTGAAATTGGCCGAACCTGTGGCTCAGTCGGCAAGCATACGTTATATTGAATTGGCYGAAGAAACTCCGGTATCTGGCACGTCCGCGGTTGTTAGTGGTTGGGGCGCCAAATGCTACTTCTGGTGCGTTTCACTACCTACTACATTGCTCAAGGTCGAYGTCAACATTGTATCTCGTGCAGACTGTGCCTCTAAGGATTACAAATATGGTTCCTCCAAAATTTTACCAACAATGGTATGCGCTTATGAAGACAAGAGTGATGCTTGTCAGGGTGATTCTGGTGGTCCATTAGCAGCAGAAGGCAAACTGGTCGGTATTGTGTCCTGGGGTAATGGTTGCGCTAAGAAAGGCTATCCAGGCGTTTATGCTGATGTGGCTTCGTTACGTTCTTGGATTTTGGAAATTGCTGCCAGTTTATAAACTGTGCAAGATTAGTGCGTACTAAGGAGTGAAATATGTAAACGTGGAATTCGCTACTACTTTACTCGTTCCTTAATCAGTTTGTCACTTTATTGCATTGTTAAAAGTAAAAATTGATTCAGGTTTCGTTTACAGCTTCAATAAATACGGTAGTTGGGGCAGATTATACATGAAGTACTTCTATTCAATGCAATGACAACTTCCCTTTTAACATATTCAAGAACTTCGTCAATAGTCGTCTAATAACTCTGGTAGTCTAGTTAAATTATATACCAGTTGCCATTTAGCTAATATCTATGAATTAAATACAAAATACTTCGGTTCGGCGGGAATATGTGTTTGGCTTGCTTCTTTAGTTTTATAGTGTGTGGATATATAAGTAGCAAGTACCAAATATTGTATTCGTTTCATATTTTTGTTGATCTTACCTAGCTTACTTACTGCTCTTATCATAACTTGCTTTTTGAATACTAACTGCCAATACACTTATCTACGCCACAACCAATAAGAGAACAACATACTTATAAATAATTTATATTAATAAATACGTAGTACTTGTATAATTATCAAAATAATTTCGGTGAAGTATAATTTTGGGCGCTAAAAGAAATTTCCATATAGATTGGTAAATAAATCGATCGAAGTCGTTTGTAAATCGTAAGTACCAAAAAAGCTTTCCTCGTAGAAAGGTAAATGTCTTTAATGTTTGAGGGTTATAGGTGTTTGTCTTGGGTAAATCGTATAATAGTGAATGCCAACTCTCTAGCTCTGGGGCATTGAATGCACTGTTGAAAGAAGAATAAGTAAAAACATATTTTAGGTTTATAAAGGCAAATGGTAGATGGGCTTAGCTTCAGACGTTTTTATATTGCGTGGACGAAAAAGTATTTTCGTATTACGTCAATAGATGTCGCTGCAGTCGTATATCTCCAGTGCTGCCAATCACCTTTTGTCATACCATATAGTGTTGGAAACTTGAGATTTTAAGCTTCATTTTAAATTAAATTCGGGGAAGTTGAAAAAAAATTACAGCTGTGCAAAAATGAGTGAAAATAAAAAAAAAAAATCGCTAAATTTTAAAATTTTTGTATTAAAAAGGGAAGAATGCCACCTAAGCCACCAATGAAATTTGTGAAGTTTACGGATACGATGTTGTATCAGTTCGTGTAGCACAGCAATGGCTTTCTCGCTTCCGTTCTGGAAATTTCGATTTACACTGATGGAATGTCGCCAGTGGAAAAATGGCAAAAAGTGGTCGACCAAAATGATACATATTTGTTTATTTATTTATTAGTATAAAGATAAAAAAATAAGATGAAGTTTGATTAGAAATACGAAAAGATACTTTAGACTACCAAAAGAAGCTTACTTCCTTAGACCATTTTGAATTGAATTAGGATTAAATGATCAAACAACTCTTTGAACAAGTTTTAAAAATAAACTATCCGACTCTTATTTAGTTATAAAAATATATATGTATGTTGTTATTATGCTTTAAAAGCACGCACTCGTACAAGTAATATTTAAATACCAATTGAGGGTTGCGTTATTCAACAAACTTTTTCCTGACAGTTATCCTCAAATTATCTTTTGTCATAATTCAAAATTGTATGCATTGCTCTTGTACTGGAAATACTAAATATCTTTAAAAAGTGAATTCATAACATAGGTGATAATGTTATCGAACGACGAGAATTAAAATGTCAAAACAAAAGCTCCGAGCTAAGTACACTACACTTACTCAAAAAATGTTTATAGGTACCGTACTGCGTTGACTCATTTTAGACTATATAAAGCGTTTGTCAATTCTTCATAGACAACAGTCAAGTTTTGAAAATGTTTCGTCTAGTAGCCTTATTCGCACTCGTTAGCCTGGCCTGTGGTGCCGCTATGCCTGATGACTTAGATGGACGCATTGTTAATGGTGTAGACACCACCATTTCTCAGCACCCTTATCAGGTGTCATTGCAAACTGTCAGCGGTTCACACTTCTGCGGTGGTAGCAT